GTGAGATGTTCGATTGTGACACAGGTGTGCTGTGCGTCAAAGAAGTGGGTGTCCATCCAGGCTCCGTACTGATTGGCCTTTTCTCTGAAGTACAAATTTTTTTCACTAAAGTGAATCTTAAATAATATATTTAAAGGCAAATAATTTTAATAAACACATACTCTACATATATTGTACAAAGGTTAAAATGCTGTACCTATACAAGATGGAGTATGTCCCTTATGTGGCCTTGACTGTGAATTGAGTCTCCCATGGGTAGGTTTTTTAGTTTGATTTTTACCACACGTTTCTTCCACAGAATTTTTTGACAGTTGGCAGCAAGGAGAGATGGGTTTTTCTGTTATGCTATTTTTATTTTAATAATTTTTCCTATAATAATTATATAGTTACACAAACAATTATTTTTGTAATGATAATTTCCTATTCCTCAAATTCCTTTTGCCATAAAGTACCAGGTTTATGATCGAAGCCAGTTACTAACTGTAGCTAACCTTTAAAGCTCCTAAGTCACCACTTCTCTGTTAGTAAATAACGTCCTTTGCTAAATTATTCAGTAGAACAGTCACTGCAGAGTTGTCACATAGGAGAGGCCCAGTCACACCCTGCAGGACCTGCCCGGTGTCCGCTGGGCCCAGACACAGACTGGGGGACCTGCCCGGTCCACTGGGGCCCTGACACACATGGGGGGACCTGCCCGGTGTCCGCTGGGGCCCAGACATACACGGGGGGACCTTCCCAGTGTCCACTGGGGACCAGACACACACTGCGGGACGCCAGGTGTCCGCTGAGCCCAGACACATACTGTGGGACCTGCCCAGCCTCCACTGGGGCTCAGACACACACTGCAGTACCTGCTTGGCCTCCACTTGGGGCCCAGACACGCACTGCAGACTTGCCCGCATCCAGACACACACTGCGGGACCTGCCTGGCCTCCACTCGGGGCCCAGACACGCACTGCAGACTTGCCCGCATCCAGACACACACTGCGGGGCCTGCCCGGTGTCCACTGGAGTCCAGGCTGAAAAGCCACAGAGTCTTTACCCCCTACCCCTGCTCCACAGCCTGCAGAGCATGTCCTTGGTGAGCATGGCTGGACCCAGTGCCCTATGGAGGCCTCCCCCTGCCGCTCTCAATACGTGCTGTGCCCTTCCTCACCTGCGACTGACCCACACTGACTCCAGTGTACAGACTGGAGTGAAAAATGGAAATTTATTTTTGAACTTAGATGGGTTTCTAGTGACACTGTTTCTGCTGGTTTAATTACAGGACTGTTGTCAGCGACCACATACTCCCCACCGCCCACCAGTGCAGCTCAGGAGAGCAAAAGCCCAAGTGTCCTTATTTTCTTCTAGTCGTCATGTTTTCGTTTTTATTCTGATATTCTGAGACCTGTGAGATTGTTATTAAAAAGAAGCTGTGGCTTCACTGTTTCCGTTTATTTTTGGTTTTGTTTTAATTTCCATTTATTTGTTTATTTTTGCTTAGAAGTGTGAACGGCTACTTTTATTTCTTTACTGCCATGAAATGAGCCTGGCTTTTCAAGACCCAGTCCCTCTAACTGTAAGTGTTAATGATGTTTGTACTTTTTCACACACTGAGTTGACTTTTCTGAAATGTGATTGATGAAAACGTAATCTCTGTACCATTTTCCGGGAGCTTTGGTGGTGTAGTGCCTAAGTCATTGACTGCTAACTAGAAGGCTGGCAGTTCAAACCCACTGGCCACTCCTCGGAAGGAAGGTTGGGTAATCTAATTCTGTAGTGATACTGCTTTGGAAACCCAAGGAGGAGGGGTCACTATGAGTCGGATCTGACTCGACAGCAGTGCATTTGGTTTTTATAAAATCAGCATTTTCCGGGAGCTCTGGTAGCATAGTGCTTAAGACATTTGACTGCTAACCAGAAGGCTGGCAGTTCAAACCCACCAACCACTCCTTGGAAGGAAGACGGAGCAATCTACTTCCGTAGTGATACTGCCTCGGAAACCCAAGGAGGGGTCGCTGTGAGTCGGATCTGACTTCATGGCAGTGAGTTTGGTTTTTGGTTTGGAAGCTGCTGGGAAAACAGAGTTCAAGAACTAGAATGACTTTAACACTAGAGAAAGGTTGAGGGAAGGGTATGTGTTAACATGGACTTCCAAAAGTCCATACTGGAAGTTTGCTGTGAATGTAAATGCATGGGTTAGAGTAACAGAAAGGGCCTGCCACCCAAAATATGCTCCCCTGTTACTTTGTGGTGTTTGAAATGCCTGAGGCGATTACTCGATTTCTGCTACAGCTGAGAATTAGAAACGTAATTCCATATGAAGAAGAAAGCTGGCTTCTTCAGCACATCCGTGATAGCAGTCATTCTTGAGAGCAGATTTTTGAGGAGGTGAGGCAGGAAAAAGAAAGTAAATACTTCCAGGGGAGGGCCTTTTACACCCAAAAGAGGAAGGAGAGTGAGGACCAGGGGCAGGAACAGCAGCAGCAGCCACTCTGTTCCCAAGCCCTTCCTGGACCCGGCACAGTCCGCCTCCTGGCATACAGCACTAACGGCGGCCACCGCTTGGCAGCTCCCTCTTACTGAATAAATTTTAACCTCATTTACAAAACCCTGCATGGTTGCAGTAGCATCCTCTGTGGGACGAGAGGAGACGAGGGCTGAGCGAGGTGCAATCACTGGCCGGCAGTGGCTGCGTAGAGCCGCAGAGCTGGTGTTCTTGCCCGCGCTCAGGACGGCAGCCCAGCTCAGCACATCCTGCTCGAAGGAGCACGTGATCTCCCCTGGCTCACTAACAACGGGCGAGAGTGGGGAGGACGGGAGGACAGAAAGAAGTGACACTGAGCTGTCACTAGTCAGTGTGTGGGAGGCCGTGGGCACTGAGGAATGCCACCTAATGGATTTTCTTACCACGGGAAAAGTAACACTGAGAAAAGCTGTCAGGACCATCAGGACCATGTACCGTGAGAAGCACAGTTTGTTGAGGACTAGGCAGAACTGAGTTACTTGTCTTACAGCATCTCATTTATTTTGAAAGGTGCCCGATTATTATAAAATCATTAAAAATCCCATGGACTTGTCAACCATCAAGAAAAGACTACAAGAGGATTATTCCTTGTATACGAAGCCTGAAGATTTTGTAGCTGACTTCAGACTGATCTTTCAAAACTGTGCTGAATTCAATGAGGTGAGAGGAGAAAAAAAAGCCAAATGCCAGCATACGTGTCCTGGAGTTCCCCTTAGAAGGAGTCAGGAGAGTTTGTCCACACTTCCATTCAGAGGTGTGCTACCGGTATTGTGAGAGGAACTGCAAGTGTTAGCCAACAGCTTGCCGACTGTTTAGAAAACACTTTCCTCTAACTCAGAAGTGGTGTCATCTACCCTGATTTTTTGAAACGTGGGCCTTGCAGACTTCAGTCTTCCTGATGTGGACCTTGAATTATTAAGATGTGGTCCATTGAGCTCTGATTGAAAAATCTGCCTTCTGTCAATTTATCTAAACATCTGTCAAACTTAGAGCCATTTGCTGATGGCTTATTCTGCATGTTGGCTCTCATCCTAAGGACCACATTTCATTTAGTTTGATCTAGAAATACCTGCTTCATGGTTCTGGACCATGGCAGCTCTGTGTTCTCTTCAGGAATCCAGACCTGCCATGCTGTACCTTTCACAACAGTCACAAAAGGTTGAAGCCTGTTGGTCACCCTTCACAGACTTTCTCCAGGCCTGGACTGACTGATTTTTCTGTCAGTGACTAGAAACAGGCTTAAACATTTTTCCAAAATAAATCACTCACATTCACAGTCCCAAGAGTCAGAAGTATGCTGAGGGAACCAGAGTGAGAGATCATTCCTTGTTAACTATCAGTTTTTGTTTACTTTTTAATTTGTGGGTGTTTTTTAATTTGTGTTTTCCTTTTCATCCAACAGCCCGATTCAGAAGTAGCCAGTGCTGGTATAAAACTTGAAAGCTATTTTGAAGAACTGCTAAAGAACCTTTACCCAGAGAACAGGTTTCCTAAGGTAGAATTCAGGAACGAGCCAGAAGATAATAAGTTTAGTGATGATTCAGACGATGACTTCGTACAACCCCGGAAGAAACGCCTCAAAAGCATCGAGGAACGCCAGTTGCTCAAATAAACAGTGCCGCTGGCTTGTGGTGCATTTCAGGTTTTTTTGTTTGAGGTTTCAAGAAGCATTTTGTCAGTAATTACACCATTTCAAGGAAGAGTTTGTGACCGCTCCGGTCTTTACTAGACTTTGATTTCCTTCACCCATTTCTTTTAACCTCTTATGAAGGAAGAAAGGAGCAAGAGAGAGAAACATCAACAATGAATAAAAAGACCTTCCCACTTCTTGGATTTCAAAATGGCCATCGAGGGTGATAGCTTCTGTAGAAAGGAAATAGACTCCATATGGACTCAGTTGAAATTTCAGTGTGGTTTGAATGTGTGCGTTCCTCGGTTGTTAGAGAATCTGTAGCACTGCCCGTGAGTCGTGGCGTGTGAGTTAGCTGTGCAGTGCCTGGGAGTGGCGCTTCACAGACGGGAGCAGTGTTGGAGTTCATCCCGAGATGCCCATGAGCTCACGACAGGGTAGACTAGATGCTGTCGGGAAGGCACCTCAGTGTATCATACGAGATGGCAACCGTATTAAAGAAAAATCAGGAAAACAGGTGTTTGCTTTTCTTTTTGGCATCTGTCCTGTCTGGAGTGTTTTGTAAAGCAGGTTGTTGAGGCTGGTTTTCACCCATTTCTAAAGCTAGACTTGCGCTACTTCTTCCATGGAGAAGTCACTGTCCACACATTTGGCTCTGCTGTGTCTCTGTGTGGTTGGTTGGTTGGTTGGTTGGTCGGTCGGTTGGTCTTCACCTGTGCAGCTAGCCCTTGCACCACAAGCCTCCTAGTTTGCAGTCTGCCTTCTAGTGGAGCCGCCCTGAATTGCAGATGCAGCCAGGGGCGCCAGACTTGCTCTGAGCCTTCCTCATCAGATGCCCTTTGGGCGTTGAGTATGAGCTCCCCCGGTTTCCATGAGTTTCATCTGCCTTTTCAACATGGAATGAAAATGTGTTACGGGATTTGGGAGCAGGCAGTTGGGGAGAATTACAGTGAAAATTATGTTTTATCTGAAGCATCTCTTTCCTGTTTCTAGGAATCAGAATTGAACCTTGAGTCTGACTTGATTCTGATTTCTGTCTCCTACACAAACACCAAAGGCCTCTTCTGAGGGTAGGCACGTGCTTCCCAGCCCCGGCTGGCGAGCGTAGCCTACTCCTCTGGTCCCGGCATTTGTCACTGTCCGGGTCGTGGGCCTTTGTTAGGACAGCACAAGACAAGTGCCATGCCATTTGCAAATGGACATTTGACAAAATACTTACACCTGGATATTTGTAGTTTGCTAAAGAAACCTTTACAAGACGTTCATTGGCGGAAAGGCTGGTGGAACAGAGCCGAGGCGGCTGGAAAGAGCGTTCTGCTTCAGCCCCTCTCCTCCCCACGCATTCACTGTACCCTCTTACCCACGGGCATTAGTTCTTAAAGGGGACAACTTGGAAATACGCTGTGACTAACTCACTGGGTTTCCAGGTATTGATGAAAATCAGATATAAGGGAAATAACTTACTGGCAGTCACTTCCCACTTTCTCTATAGACTTCGGTCTTGAGGATCAGTTATGTATTAACTGTTAAAGTCTCAGTCACTTTTCCAAATACATGCTGTGTCTTGCTGTCCTTTTTAGAATATGCATCTGACAGTTATCCTCCAGAGATTATTTGAACAAATTTTGGGAACAATGCCTGTTGTTTATCCCTTCAGACATTTGGGCACAGCAGCTGTGGAGCTTTGACCACTGAGCCTGTGGTCAGTACGTGAGGGCTCTGTCCTTCCAACAGCTCGGTCTGCCACACTTGTCTCATGGGTTAAAACAGAGCGATGTAGATGAATTATTTTGCAGAAGATCACAAAGGGAGGGTGAAGAGCGGAAACACAGCCTTTCTGGTGAGGCTGAGCCAGAAGTCCCACCAGTCCCCACAGCTCTCAGTGCTGTGGTCCCTGCCTGTTGGTATCCTGTCGCCCCTTGGGCATCTTTTGCTAAGTGAGAGGCATTGAGGACCATCTTTCCTGTGATCATATGTAGCACAAATGAGGAACTGACTTGGGTTTCTCTCCCCAAATGGCCTTTTTTGTGATAGTATTTAGATTCAAGTTCTGTGACCTTATTAACAAGTACCCATGTGCCTAGTTGAGTCTCAGCTAAGTAGCCCTTAAATTCTAGTAGAGGTAAACTCTAAGACATCCCTGACTCTGCTCCCCAGTCATCTAGAGCTGGTGAGAACCCCTAACTACCCCCTGATCATCTAGATCTAGTGAGTACCTCCCTAAGTGCCCCCCATCATCAAGATCTAGTGAGAACTCCCCCCATGGCCCCCCATCATCTAGATCTAGTGAGTACCCCCCACCCCGACTCTGCCCGCCGGTCATCTGGATCTAGTGAGCACCCATTGTTGACACTGATCGAAAGCCCGTTAGTGCTGCGCCCTCCTCCGTGGCTGAGCGTGATCACACCTTGGCCAGAGCTTACCAATGAGCAGCTGTGTGGGCTCTGGGGCTCACCGGCTCCCACTCAGCATTCCCCGGACCGCAGCATTGTCGGAAGGAAGGGGTGAGACTCCCCCATGGAAGGTAAGGAATATTCCACATCGCCGTTTGGCAGTGCAGTGGCTTCACCCTTGGAGTCCACAGGCTCTGCTTGTCTCTTGTGAGTGGGGACAGGACAGTGGAGGGTGCTGAAAGGAAGATGCCCCCTTCCGGGTCTAGCTTTACTCTCCCAAGCTACAGACTGGGCTGTGCGTGTTACCACACAGTGTGTAGATGCAGTTTAACTCTACAGTGCTTCCAAAACGGTTAACCCTGCAGTCAAAAGGGCGCATAGCAACAGAATTGCTCCGTTTGTGACTTGGCGTCTCAGAGCCCTGTGCTGGCAGAGCACTTGGCTTTGACGTGGGATCCACGGAGAGACTAGCCACTGAAGGGGGGTCTCTTCCTTTTGCTGAGGCCTGACCCACAAATCGGCATGAGCCCAGAAGCCAGATGCTGTGAATGAAGAGAGGCAGCTGGGTTTACACAGAAGGCAGGCTCACTTCTGTTTAAGGGTCTCGTTATGAGTAAGAGAAATAGAGGTCGGATTGGCCGTTCCAGTGATGGACGGGACCAGGAGTTCATCTCATTCTAATTGAAATGGCGCCCCTCTTAAATAACCATGTCCATATTTTTAAAAGTATTTTATAACCGTGGGTAGGTTAACTCTTGATGTCTTTTTACAAACGTTCACTGCACCTTTGGGGTGTGCTCACATGCTGGTGGTCCTGAGCGAGAACAAGGCCAGCCTGTCGGATCGTGATGCCCTCCCCCGAGAACATGCTGGCTCTGAGGGACCGCTGCAGCTGAGTTGTCGTCTCAGTTGCCCTTTTTTTTTTTTTTTTTTTAATTTTTTTTTTTTTTTTTTTAATTATTTGGGACAGACTGATGCTGATTTTAATAAAAATGAACTTTGGTGGATTTTTACTGGGCTGTTTTACCACCAACAAGGATTCTTAACTGGACAGATCATTGTCTGCCAGTCAGTAGGGTCTTGGCTGATTTCGGTCTCCACTGCTGCCTTTGTGTCCTGTAGCCATAGTGTTGGCACCTACAGGGACTGACCACTCCCGTTGACTGTCATGGGAGAGCATTCTTTTATTATTGTCCTGAGTGAATTTCCAATTTCTTACTAGCCTTGGAGGATAAACAGGAACAGTTTCTCAGGCAGGAAGGAAAGCAGGTATTGTCTTCCACTGCTGACTTTTTCCCTGACAGAAACCAGCCCCAAACCCAAGAAGGGAGGGAAGATCCCATCTGCTACCTCTGGTGGTGTGAGTTGTGGGTCATTCTGGGAGTGCACCTCTGCTGACCTCACCTGTCTAACTTGAAACACCTGGAAATTATACCTGCTCTGGTGGTGTAGTGGATAAGGCATTTGGCTGTTAACTAGAAGGTCAGCGGTTCAAACCCACCAGCTGCTCTGTGGAAGGAAGATGGGGCGATCTTCTTCCATAAAGATTTGCAGCCTCGGAAACCCAGTGGGAGTTGCTATCAGTTGGAATCAACTCGATGGCAGTGAGTTTGGTTTTTGTCTTGTTTTTAAGGAAGCACCGTTAGATACTGACAGTCCTTTCCTGGGTGAGGTGAGGGCAGCTTCTGTTTCCTTAAATTAGTTTTTAAATAGAAAAATTAAGTCCTGTTTTGAGTCCTCCAACAGTCCTTCCTGGAAGTTCCAGGTAAAGCCCCTTGTCTGTCCTCAGACGGGTGCAAGTACACTCACAAATGTGAGTTCTTTGTCCATGCTCTGAAATTGTGGGTGCTAATGCCTGTAACCTAAGACAGGTGACCCAGAAAATTGCGCCAGGGATCTCCACTGCAGTTGGCTAATACTCTTGTCTTGGGGGAAGGGATGGAGTATACTGCCACCACCGCCACCTGTTCGGGGGGGGGGGGTGGAGTATATGCACACCACCCCCTGCGGTGAGTGGCATTGCCCTGAGAAGGTTCCAGAAGAACAGGGACGGGACAGGGGCCAGCCTCTGCTGCCAAGGCTGGTTGTCTAAGCTCATCCTCCTGGGGGTTTACTGATGAGAGAGGAAGTTAAGGAAGCCCACCAGACAAAAACCCCAAAAGAGAGCTTTGGCAGTCATACCTCAGAAGGGTTTTTGCCCTTACAGACTGCTTTAGAGAAGCTCGTGGCATTCAGTCACCCCTTCTGAATCCTCTTACATAAGCAGGGATTCCAGTACATTACTGGTTTATACCCCGACCGGGAGTGTTTCTTGGTCTTTTGGGGGTGTCCCAGAATGGACAAGTTCTCACAGATGAGTAGTTTGGCCTTGATTGACTTTCACTAACGACACAACGAGGAAACATCAGCGATACTGGAGTTGGTGAGGACACCTCCGACTTGGCGCTGAGTACGTTAGCTGAGAGGGACGGCTGTCCACTCACTCAGTGTCTGAGGCGGCCTGGTGGCAGGCAGTGTGGACAGCACCAGCAAGTTGCCCAAGCCTAGAGGCCCCATAGATGTCAAGAGGCCCCTTAGATGCACTCTCGGACAGCCCCATTGTTGTCGTTGGGCTGTGGTTTTCAACTGCTCCTACCCATCAGTTTTAGTTACAAATTGCTGATAACCTCAGCTTTGAGATTTTCAATTAAGATTTGTAATGAGCTGTTTGGCTAGTAACCCTACATGCATAACCAAAACATCTTTGCATCAAAAATATTATGGCCTAAGGTCTCATTACTGGGCTTTAAGATGAGCCTGAAGACCCTGGCTCATATACCCTAACAACTAAAAGTAGCTTTTCAACTTTTAAAGGGGTGGTTTGGTTTGGTTTTTAGTGTAGCAGAGACCATACATCATCCACAAAGCCCTAAAATACTTGCTCTCTGGGCCTTTACAGAAAAAAGTTAGGTGACTTTAAAACATATACCTTGTGGTTCAAATTGAGTGATCTGCACCCCGGTGAAGTGGGGTGCACAGACATTTCATTGGAGTTGCAGCGAGTCCTTTTCCTGTGGCAGGAGCAGATGCACCAGCCTTGGGGTCCCCAACTTTAGTGGCCTCAACAAGAAGCCTGAACATCAGTAAAGGAACATAAAAGCCTTAGGCCCACCCACTGTGTTTCTGATCCTCGTTGGATCACGGGAATCAAAGATAACCCCGGAAAATAGAGAATATTTGAAGATGTTCCTTTATTTCCAGCTTCTTAGCATATACAAAGCTTAGCTAGATCTTAGCATCTTACGTTTATTAATCAATTGTGATTAAGGAGGCCACAGTGGAAATGACTGTCATTTTAATTTCAACATCATGCCGTTTGTGGTTGTCTTGAAAGAGGTGATAGTGCCAGCCCTAGTTCTTGCCTCAGCCACAGAACCTCAGCACAAACGTACATGGATTTTGTCTGAGACGCGAGTATGTGTCCGGCTGAAAGACAGCAGAAAAGCCACCCTCTCCCCAGCCATCTCCCACGTACTTTGTCCATCTTCAACTATTTCAGAAAAATTCCTTATGTTGCCTCCCAGGGACGAGGTCACTACATAGTTTCCCATCAGTGCTAGTCTTTTTTTAAAAAAAAAAATACACAATCAGTTTCTTGATGGCCTGGTAGCACAGAAAATAAAGGTTTGGTTTTTTTGTTTTTGTTTTTTTAAAGTGCCACAGCACTTTGTGAAGATGTAAGTGCTTTTTCGTCTCTGGCAGGCACAGTGTGCAGGTCTTCATTTAATTTGCTAAAAGGAGAAAATGAGTTAATTAATCAAAATGTGTTTAATAAAGTCCTTTTGTTCTCAGCTGTCTCACACTGTAAACTACCAACTAGCAATGAAACACCGTTACTTAAGTCAGTCTGCAGGGAATTCAAGTCATGGTTTTGGTCCTTGTGTGCCTGAGAATACAGTGCTGGCTTTGTGACCAGTGATTCTAGTACAGGACACGCGTCATCTGTCTAGACTTGGTTGGACTTTGAATTGACCAGGTTAATCACATGACAACTTCACAGAGCAGCTGTGCATGGAGTCATTTCTGCGAAGGTCAGCCCACGCGGCCCAGCGACTGGACGCCATGTGTGGGTAACGGTGGGAGGAGGCTGATTCTAGGCCATTTCTAGAGTTTTGCTGTCATCACTAGGTAGCTTCGTAAGTGCTGATAACTGTGGGGTACACACGTTAGACTGTTTCTGAAATGGGAAATAACTCGTACTGCGATTCCCGTCCAACTGTAGTATACTAGGTCCATGCTTCCACCTGGCACTATGACCCCATGAATCCTTAGGTTTAGGTTTTTAAGTGACAGCAGAAGAGTGTTTTAGAAAAAATCTGGTCAGACGTCTTTCAAATATAAGCTGAAGCCAAAATAATTTTTTTTTTTAATTCGCCCAAAGATAAGAGTGGCAGCCACCGGAGGGACTGGCCTGTGCCCTTGTGTTTAGGAAATTTACGTGTGAAAGTTAGACAGCAGAGACCTTTCGAGGGCTTTGAATCAGACATGAAAAATCATTTTGCCACTGCCCTAAACCCATGGTCAGCCAAGAGGGGACAGTTTTTAGTAAAGGAATATGTCTTGACTTGGAAGCCTAGACAGTAAGCTAGGCTTGTTTTATAGGTAGTGTTACTTGAAACTCTACTTGAGAAAGTAAAACTAGTGTGAAAACAGGAATGGAAATTAGGTAAGAGCATCAGCGAACTCTGCAGTAGTGTTGGACCTCAGCCCCACAGTGCACTAGTGTGTCCCTGACACAGGTTACACGGCCTCTCTGTACCTTTGCTCATTTGTGTAAAGGCTGTGACAGCCCTTGATGAAGATGAAAGGGAAGTGTAAATCATCTCATTGCCCCTTGGCTTTCAGCCTTCAGTGAAGGGTCAGCTCGCCAAGTCAGGAGCCTAAACAAAGCCCTGGATTGTCGAGTTGGATCCGACTCATAGTGACCCCTCCTTGGGTTTCCAAGGCAGTATCACTATGAAAGTAGATTGCCCAGTCTTCCCTTTAAGGAGTGGCTGGTGGGTTTGAACCACCAGCCTTCTGTTAGCAGTCAAATGCCTTAGGCACCATGCCACCAGCTCCGAATTACATGGCAGGCCATCTAATTCATCATTAAAATGCACATCACCTTAAAGATAAGAAAACAGGTGACCTAGGGCACAACCCATCAGGACTGGTCATTTGTTTCTTTACTCAGTGGTGGCTCCCTTACCTGTAACTTGTCAGACAACATAATACCTGTACACCAACACAGATTGTGGCGTGTCCACAATCTACTCTGGAGGGGACATGGGAGCCAGGGAGCGTCCCACCCAGCCACAGCAGCATCCTGGCGTTGGAGGGCAACTGGACGGCGTGGAGGACTGTCCCTGTGGTTACCCACTTGGCTGCTGACCACAGTGTTGGTGGATCCAGGAGAGAGGCCTGATAGCCCGGTCTGGTAAAGACCGAAAGCCTTGAAAACCCTGCTCTGTCACGGGGTCACTCAGTCGGAATCACCAACGACCAACAACAACATCCTCTCTTGGGCAGTGGGTGGCGAGGGAAAAGGAGCCAGGGGACATGTGGAGGCCGTGTGATCCTGAGAGTGACCCACGTGGCCATCCCCTGGGCCACCTACAGTGCTGGCTCCATCCACGTGGCCAAGTGGAGGGAGGTACTGGCCTCTCTCTCCCATCCTCATCCCCGTTACTCACGCTGCAGATCGACAGTAACTAGAGTTCTAGCTACTACCAAAACCACATGCAGGGACAGGTGGGCACCCCAAAAGGAGAACATCTGAGCTGCTGGCAGAGGGCACAGCCGTTCACACGTCGCTGAAAGGCTGGCTGCACCTGGTCCCTTTGGTCAGAAGTGGTGGCTGCGAATCAGCGCTGCTCGCGTCGCTTACCTGCAGAGCTCGTCCCTTGGTCTCGATGGGGAGCGTGAAAGCCGAAACGGCGCAGACCACGCAGACGGACGAGAACAGACACAGGGCCCCCAGGAACGAGGCACTCAGGAGGACCTGCAGGTCACAGAGCATGGCTCCGTTGATCTAGCCCAAGTCACCTCTAACTGCCTCTAGGACTCCCTTCCCCAAATACACCCACGAGGGGCTGGCAGCCACAGTGCAAATGCGTTGCGGTGTCTCAGATCTGTGGTGGTCTGGGCCGCGCTGGGTGGGCATTTTGTGGCTTCCTCACATTCCCTGTGCCTCTTCCACACCCACCCCTCAGGCATCTGCCCTGGACTCTCCACCTGCCGCCCCTCCTCTCCCCCCATTCAGCTTGCTTCACTCCCGACCCTCTCACTGCACGTCCACGCCCCCTCGGTCTGGACAAGATGAACCAGAGAAAGTGTTTTGGTGAGAGCTGTAATCCTGAAGTCCCCACAAAGATGAGCGGCATTTCTGTTTGTTCAAAATGCCCCATGTGTGACAACCAACCAGACTTTTCTGCTGCATTTCCACTTCTCCGCAGTGCAAATACAGTGCTAATCTACAGGCCGCCGGCCTGGGCTTCCGGCCCTGGGCCCGGCCAGTTTGAACAGGTCTTCCTGCCTGGCAGCTTCCTCCCGGCTGTGCCCAAAGTGGGCAAGCACGCACTTGGTAGAGCCACTAATCTCACAAGGACGGTTAAGTGTGAAGTGACTAAGGAACTGCAGAGCTCTCAAGTCACAGAATATTGCCATTGGGAGAGACCTACAAAATCACCTGGACAAATACTCCATTAGCCCACTACTCTAAAAAGGGAAGGAAAGGTTTACATATGGAAGGAAACTGTTGATTACCAGAGATGAGAGTGGAGGGGAGAGAAAACTGTTAGATGATTAAGAGACAAGTATCGGTTTGGGTGAAGAGAAAGGCAATATACCAGAAGCGAGTGATCAACACAACACAAAGGAAAAGGAAGACACAGAGGTGCACAAGAGGTACAGACAACAGATAAACACTTTTACACACACAATCCTGCAAGATGGGCAACAGCAAACATTAATTAATCTATGGGTGGATACATAGGTAGACGGGCTGAATGATCAGGTGTGTCTAGGCAAAAGGGTATAGACCATAGATAGGGTTGGCAGGTGATCAGTCTGTGCATGTATTGGGATGTGCTGCAAGAATGTCCATAGATACACTAGAACTAACAGGTCAGAGTTAGACAACTTGTTAGCCACAGCCAACACCCTGAGGGAGCAAGTTGTTGGGCCTGTGGGCTCAGGACCATGGTCACAGGGGACATCAAGCTCAACTGGCATAACATACTACAAAAAAAAAAAAAAAAACACTCTACATCCTACTTGGGTGAATAGTGCCTGGGGTCTTAAAAGCTTGCCAGTGGCCATCTAGATGCAACAATTGGCCACTCCTCCTCTGGAGCAGAGAGGATGAAGACCAAAACTGCATGGCAACAATTAGTCCAAGGGCTTAGTGGACCAAGCGAACCTTAGCCTACGTGACCCTGAGACCAAAAGAACTAGACGGTGCCTGGGCTACCACTATCAAACACTCAGAAAGGGGTAGGTGCAGGAGATCCTGGATACAGGGGAAGAAAAATGTGGAACAAAACCGAAAATCATAAAAACCAGGCTTACTCGTCTGCTGGAGACTGGTAAAAACCCCCAAGACTATGGCCCCTAGTCACCCTTCAGGCCTGGAATTGAACTCACTCCCATGGCCTCCAGCCAAACAATAGACAGGCGTATAGGGTGAGCCACTAATCTCACAAGGACGGTTAAGTGTGAAGTGACTGCGGAACTGCAGAGCTCTCAAGTCACAGGTCGGCACGCTGCTTAGAACAATCAGCCCTGGGACATCAGAAGGGCAACAGTTGCACAGGGAGACGGCTCAGCGGGCGGGAATGCGTGGGAAAGGACACGGAAAAGGTAGCCACCGGGAGGCAGTGGGAAGAGAGCTGCTACATTGTGGGGCTGGCAGTCATTGTCATGGAAGAAAATGCATATAAACTGCTGTGTGGAAAACGAATTTGCTTTGTCAACTTTCGCCCAGATCACAGTTTTTTTTAAAAAAATAATAGTCTTGGAAACTCTGGAGCAGTTCTCCGTCAGCCTAGATGAGTTATGCCTTATGAGTCCAAATCAACTCAACAGTAACGGGTTTGGTTTAGTTAAGTGGTGAGATAGTACACATAGTACATGCTTTAACTAATTTTTTGTTTTCAGTGTAGAAGAATCACGTGGATTGCCTCGGACAGTCACATCACCCACAAACAGTGAACACACACGCCTTTGAGGGCCACACTTCTCACAGCTTCTCAGCGAGCCTGTCCCTTACAGGAAGTCCCCTTCCCCACGTTCCCTGCCGTCTCGGGCGCTCTTCCCTGGCTCCCCTGCGCCCCAGGGGGCACAGGCACCTGACCAGCCAGTGGGACTGGTCCTCAGCTGCCATTCTTGAACGAGGGGCGTTGAGACCCTTAGCGGTCCCTCATCCTTGGCTACGGCAGTTTCCGTTTCCGTGCAGAAGTGTAAAGTCGTTACGCAGTCCAACTTGGTGTCTTTCCTGTAGCCTCATAGTAAGCACACGGGGTTTCCCAGGATCTCTTAGATCTCCAGCACTTAGCAATTATTGGTAGTTGGCATGTTGGCTGGACTCACAGCGACCCTGCGCCCAACGGAGTGAAGCGCTGCCCGGTCCTGCTACGTTGTGAGAGCATGTGACCACAGGGTTCTACTGGCTGAATGTTAGAAGTCGATGGCCAGGCCCTTCTTCCTAGTCCACCTTAGTCTGGAAGCTCCCCCCAAACCTGTTCAGTGTGGCAGCAACACGAAGCCGCCACTGACGGACAGGTGGGGGTGTGCATGAGGCGCACGAGTTGAGTGTTGAACCCGGGTCTCCTGCGTGAAAGGTGAGAATTCTACCCCTGAACCCCCCTGCCCCCCAGTACAGGGCTCGGGGCGGCACAAACCCTCCAGTCAATTGTGAGGGCCCAGCCTGGGAAGCCCTGACCTCCCAGTCTGAAAACTGACACTGCTCCGCAGCCACATTTGTCCGTGACCCTGAGGGCGGGCCACACCTGCTGCACCTCGAGCACGGACAAAGGCCAGACCTGGCCAATCGGACCCTTCCCTGGAGATCCAGAGAGAGCAGTTGGGTGCTCTCGGTGGGTGGCCTGAGGACGCAGCTTTGGGATTGGGGGCTGCCATGCCCGCAGGCGGCAGGACACTGGCCTTCAGGGAGAGGGGAGTGGCACCCACGTGCTCAGAGAGGTAGAGGTGAGTGGCCCCAGCCCTGGGAAGACAGGAGCCCAGGGCCTGGGTTCCTGGCAGCCTCCCCACTCCTGCACCCCACGCCCTCCAGGGCCCCCCCACACTCCTGTTGTGCACTGCAGCCACTCAGCCGGTTTGTTTCTTTGGCCACAGAGGATGGCCAGGGTGCGCACGGCAAGCCACCAGCGGCTGATGGGCCATGGTCCCGCAGGTCCCCCCTCCTCTCCTAGACAAGGCTTTCTCCACAGTTCACCAGGATCGCAGCCCGCCTGTGCTGGGTTTATCCTGCCCAATGCCACCACCCTGGTCCTCCACTCAACCTGCCTACACTTCATGCCGCTTGTCAACCTCAGGGTCGGAGACCACTGTCAGTCACTTGCTCACGCTCCCCTGTCCTTCATGTCATTGGATCCTTCCCCAACCAGGCCGTGCTTAAAGCCGAGCAAACCCAGCAAGCAACGGCCAAGGGCAGCATGGAAGGCTGCTGCCGGCCCTTTAGCCCCGCCCCGCCGCCCGAGCTGGCCAATGGGAAGACGGAATGTCAAGAACGCTCATTAAGTCTAGAGGAATCCTTGAGGCTAGCTTTACCCTACAAAGACCCTCCCTGCAAACAAACAAAACGCCCACTGCCATCAAGTCCATTACTACTCACGGCAACCCCACGTGTGACAGTAAAACTCCATAGAGTTTCCTTGGTTTCAATCTTTACAGAAGTGGGTCACTAGGCCTTTCTTCTGTGGTGCCGACAAGGGTTCAAACACCAAGCTTTAGGTTAGTAGCTCATGCAAACCGTTTGGGACGCCGGGCCTTCCTGTTCCCGCCTCCCTTAGTCCCATCCCCCTGCAGACTGAGCTGTACCTGAGAGATGAATGGCGCCACCATGGCACCAATGCGGCACAGGGAGCCGCTGGTGCCCATCCCCAAGGCACGCATCGTGGTGGGGTAGACCTGCAGGGCAGGAGCACAGGGACTGGCGTTAGCCGGGGAGTGTGTGCGGCTGCCTTCCCCAAGTTCTCCCCGCCCCTTCACGCCTGGTCAGGCTCTGCACCGAGAAAGGAGCGCTTGAATCAGACGGAGAGCCCCGCCTCAGAGCTCTAAATGCAACCTGCGTGAAGGAGGTTCTATCCAAGGGAAAGAAAATGTTGCACAAACACTGACAATCGCAGGAAGCCTTTAACAGACACAGTGGGAGGAACTGATGTCGGAAAATGACTTCACTCTGCACCGTTTGCCGTCATGATAAATGCAGAAAAGATTGACTTTGTCGAGGATTTTGTTTCCCTTGGATCCACAGTGAACACCCACAGACACAGCAATCAAGAAGTGAAATGACGTATTGCACCGCGCAGGTCTGCTGTAAAAGGCGACTTTAAAGTGTTAGAAAGCAAAGATGTCACGTGGAGGATGGAGGTGTGCCTGACCCAAGGTGTTATCATTTGCCCCATATGCTAGTGGAAGCTGGACAAGGAATTCAGAAAGACTGAAGACGACTTGATGCTTTGACTTGCAGTGTTGGTGAAGAATACTGACACTACCACGGACCGCCAGAAGAATGAACAGATCTGTCCTGGAAGAAGCGCAGCCAGGACGCTCCTTAGAAGTGAGGATGAAGAGACTTTATCTCAGGGACTTCGGGCGTGGGGTCAGGAGGGACGTCCCTGGAGAAGGACATCATGCTTGGAGAAGTAGAGGGTCGGTGAAAAAGGGGAAGGCCCTCAGGAGATGGGCTAACACAGGAACAATTGTGAGGCTGGTCAGGACCAGGCAGGGCTGGTTTGTTATGTTGTATATAAAATAAGGTCACCGTGCGGGGGAACCAACTCCACGGCGCCTACCAACGTGCCTGCGGTTGGTTATATGTTCTCTTTTTTATGTTAATGAGACAGGATTGATGTAGTGTGTATTTTGAGCCAATCTCTTGAAACATCCAAAACCAAACCAAACCCACTCACGTGGAGTCTATTCCAACTCGCAGCGACCCTACAGAATACAGTAGAACTGCCCCATAGGGTTGCCAAGGCTGACCATCTTTACAGAAGCAGCCAGCCACATCTTTCTCTCATGGAGCAGCTGGCAGATTCGAACTACCAACGTTTTGATTAGCCGCCGAGATCCCTTTTTTGAAATCTAAAAGAGACTAAGAGAACAGAAGCAAAAGATGGAGGAAGAGAGATGCCAGGCCCCAAGGAAACTGCCCAGGAGCCCAGAGACAGGGCCTTGCCCAGAGCCGACAGAGAGCTAGCCGCCCCCCGGAGCTAGCACCCTGGTTTCAAACTTCCAGCCTTGGAAAGGGTGAGAAGGCACATTCTGTTGGTTCAGCCTCATTCATGGACGGACGCCCTCTCCGACGCGCCCCCTTGGCCCTCGCTGCTGGCGCAAACCACCAGCGGAAACGAACCTCGGCCGTGTAGATGTAAATGGTGTTGAAGTTGGCCGCCACCAGAGCCCGCAGCACGAACAGGAAGCCGATGAGGCCGGCACTGGGGGACAGGGGGAGGCGGTCATGAACGGCGCGTGGAGGCGCCCCCTGGCCCCCCCCACACACACACACACGTGGGGACCTCAGCCTCCAGGGGGCGCCGTGCCCCGCTGGCTCAGCGCGGTCCCGGAGCAAACCCTGCTCCCCGCCCCGCCTCCCGGCCTGCACTGCGCAGCTGCCCACCGCCCGCCGGCAGATGGCGCTCGCGTTTGCCGGGGACGCGGCGCAGGCGCGCTTCGCTTCAGCGCACTGCGCAGATACTGCGCTTCCAGACACTTGCCTGCTAACCCATCAGCCGCTCCTCGGAAGGAAGGTTGCGCAATCCTACTTCCGTAGTGATACTGCCTCGGAAACCCACGGAGGGGTCGCTATGAGTCGGGGCCGACTCCACGGCACACAACAACAACAACAACAGCGATCAGAAGGCCTTCCCGGGCCCTGCGCTCACCTCGTGAGCCTGTGTCTCATTTTAGTCACTCTCACACTATTTCAAATTTTTTCATCACGCAATTGCACACTTAACAGACTACAAACCAAACCAAACTCACTGCCGCGAGTTGGATCCGACTCATATAGACCCCTCCTTGGGTTTCCGAGACAGTGTCTATGGAAGTAGATTGCCCAACCTTCCTTCAGAGAAGTGCCTGGTGGGTTTGAACCGCCAGCCTTCTGGTTAGCAGTCAAATGCCTTAGGCACTGTGCCACCAGAGCTCCCATGACTCCCATAGGCACTGGGACACCAACAACTTCGCACGGCTCGCTTTATTGCCGTGCCCGGCACCGACCCCGCAGCTTCCTGCAGCTAATGGCTGTGGCCCCTCAAGCGTTTGCCCAAGACTGGAAGGGACTTCCCCACCACGGCCGGTTATCTGTGTCGTTGAACTCCCTCGGCGTTGGGCCAGGTCATTCCATGAACAGCGGAGTCCTGAACGCCGTCAGGGGAAGTGCGTCCACCGCGCTAGCCCCCCATCCTACCGGGGCGTGGGAGTGTGGGGTGAGCGCAGACCCGCAGGCCCAGGCGAGGTGGAAGGGACGGCCCAGCGCCCCCTGAACGTGGGGTCAGGGGACCACGTTTGAAGCCACGGCTCGAGCTCGGTGGCCGCGCAGGCCCAGCGAGAAATACCTGGAGGTGCACACATTGAGCAGCAGAAAGAACAAGGCGGTGCACCCCATGGTGATGGACAGACTCAGCCGTCTCCCCAGGAGATTGAGACCCAGGATGTTGAAGGGGTTCACTGGAAACAGAGACAAAGCCCATCTCAGTGCTCGACAAGGAGGAGGCCGTCATCAGCCCTGGCCTGCACCCGCCTTGTCATTCCAGAAACAGCGCCACCCACCGGCCGGCGTCCGGGCACGGTCTCATCACCTGCCAGCCTCCTTCAATGCTTGTTTCGTGCCCGGCTCAAAGAACAACGCATAGGTCGGTGTGAAGGCCCCGGGACACCGTGCTCGCTCCGCCACACTTACCGGTTGCCATGGAGCCAGCTCTGACTCCTGGCGCCCCCCGAGTGTCGGAGGAGAACTAGGGCCCTCAGTGGCTGATCTTTCCATAGATCACCTCAGCTGTTCCTCTGCGGTGCCTCTGGGTGAACTCGAACCCCCGCCCTTTGAGTTCACAGCTGAGCGCTTAACCTTTTGCATCACCCGGGAACTCCACGACATCAGGTAGATACGTCCTGGGTTGTAAACTGACAGCTTGATAGACTATATTTTTAATGTTTAAACTGTTCTTTTTAAACAGTGGTTTCAGTGAAAGTTTACAGAGCAGTCAGTTTTGCATTCAGCGATGTTTACATACTTTGTTTGGTAACTTTACATTGTTCTTAATCAAATTCAAACCCACTGCCATCAAGTCAGTTCCGACTCATAGTGACCCCCGTGGGGTTTCCGAGGCAGTAAATACAAATTCCAGGTGCTGCTATTTTTTTAAAAAAAATAATGTTTGGTTGTGTTTTTGGTGGCAGTGAGATGCCGCTGAGTTTTAAGCGCTATTATTTTACGCCTTGGAGTTTCTGAGTGGTGCAAACGGTTACGCACTCAGCTGCCAGAAAGGCTGCAGGTTCGCGTCTACCCCGAGGCCCCTGGGAGGAAGACTTGGGAGCCACTTCTGAAAGCCCAGCCACTGGCGATCCCAGGGGCACAGTCCATGCACACGGGGGCGCCCGGAGGCAGAATCGACTCCATGGCCGCCGGTTTATCCCATGGCTACTGAAACAGGAACAGTGCTGCCAAAATTGAAGTCGAACAAACCATTGTAAGACACCCCCCAATTTCAGACACGTTATAATGTACAGAAAAAAAACCTCTGTGTCTGAGAGTCGGTCAAATAGGGGGAGCCAGAGCTTCACTCCAGCCTCCCCTGCCCCCACCAGTCTGATCCGGGGACTTGCCCCGGCCGACCAGCCCGCCCGGGTCACCGCAGGGTCACACCTCTGCCCCCACCCCGGCCCAGGGGGCGCTCACGCGCGATCTCGCCCACGGTGCTGATGATCATGGTGCGGTAGTCGGAGGCGGCGAACGGGCGGCAGTGGCAGGGGCTGCGGCTCTCGGCCGAGTCGCCCGCGGCCACCGCCACCGCCCCCTGCGACGGCTCCCGTGAGCCGCACACCAGGTCCCGTTCCAGCAGCTCGGCGCTGGCCAGGATGGCCCCGTAGTAGGCAAAGGAGATGCCCAGCCTGCGAAGAGAGGGGCGTCCTAGAGCGGAGCTCCCCGCCGGCCTGAGGGTGGCGTGGGAGACTCCCCGGGCCACGGAATGAAAAACCGCAACATGGGGGGCTCAGAGGAGTGAGTATTCTCTCACAGTTTGGGGGCTAGGAGTCTGAACTCAGGGTGTCAGTAGGATCACACACCCTCGGACTCAAAGGGAGAATGCTTTCCGTCTCTCCCAGCTTCTGGGAGCCCAAGAAGGGGACCCTGGTAACACAGTGTTTACTTGGCTGCTACCTCAAAGATCAACAGTTCAAACCCACAGCCGCTCCATGAAGAAAGAGGACAGCCTTGGAAACCCTCGGGGACAGTTCCGCTCTGTCCCATAGGGTCACTGTGAGTTGGAATTGACTGCACAGCAATAGCTTTGGTTTTGAGTTATTTGTTCCTTGGCTTGAAGCTGCAAGATAACTCTGTTGTCACACTGTCACCTGGCCAGGCCCCACCGCCACCCCCATCTGTCTGTCTGTCTGAGTCACTTGTCTGCTAACAGCACACCACTCCGACTGGACTAGGACCTGCCCTAGTCTGCGGGTACCTCAGGCTAACTGACAACAAGCAGCCCTTTCCTAGGATGTCCACCGGCCTTTTGGGGGCAACACAATTCCATCTTCACAGTTGGGTAGCACCACGTCCCGCAGGGACACGCCACAGGACGTTCCAGGCAGGAGGCACAGTGAGCAGGGAGGCGAGGCGGAGACACCACCCAGCTGTCTTGCCAGGGAGCGAGAATGGAGAGGGGTCCACAGGAGCGGGTGGGCTCACGGTGGAGGGTCCGCACGCCCCGGCTGAGGGGTCTGAAGTGGGGATCCCTTTCTGGGTGCAGTACCAAGTCCCTACGCTCCTGGCGTCAGAAACAACACGCCGCAGCTGGGCTCCTGCTCCCAGCCTCACCTGGCTGGAGTCGGGGTGAAGGCAGGGCTGGTCCCTTTCTTGGGGAACAGTCGTTCCCAGGCTCACTGGGGTCCCCATGTCCCTGTGGGCTGTCAGCCAGCAGTGGCTGCACTCCTTGGCCTGTGGGCCCTTCCTCTCCGAGGACGGCAGCCTCTCTGACCTGCCGTCACCTTCTCCGGCTGCCTCTCCTCTGCTGTGGCTCTGACTCCAGCCACAGAAGCTGCCCTGCGTTGGGTTTCTTCCTGATCACTCACGTGATTGACGGGGCCCACCCCCACGAGCAGCATAGGCCAGGATGGCCTCCGTTTCTCGGGTCCCCTCTCAGGGTCCCTGGATCCGTGGTGGATTCAGTAAGCTGGGGGGGATCTTGGGGGCCGTCTTTAGAACCGCACCCCATGAAGCGTCTTCCCAGGCCGTGAGGAGCCCCGAGGGCGGCTGCTGTAGGTCATCTTTTCCCGTCTGCTCATTACAAGCTATTCGTATTGAGGCAGCAGAGCTTCCAAAGACAGAGTTGGAAGGAAGGCCCGTGACAGTCCCTGGATCCCCGCAGTCCAGTCTGAAACGTGTCCTGGGAACAGCACAGGACAGGGGGGCGTTGTGTTTCCTTCTGCGTGAGATCACCACAAACAGGCCAACTGGAGGCCTGCTAGCGACTGTTAACCTGCTGGCATGAGTCACTTCTGACCGGTGGCGACCCCATGCCACAGAGAGGAACTGCACTCCACGGGGTTTCGATGGCGGGCTTTACAAAAGCAGACCACCAGGCCTTTCTTCCGCGGCACCGCTGTGTGGATTTGAACCGCCAGCCTTTAGGTTAGCGGTCAAGCACAAACCATCTGCACCTGCTAGAGAACTTTAACAACAATATAAAAGACATGCAGAGAAGTTCCTGCATCAAACTTAAGAGAAGGTGTCCCATCACCCCCCAGGAACCCCCACGCACCCACCCGCTTTGTGCCTTAGCCCCTGTCCTTCCCACAGTTCTGGTTCCCCAGTGCCACTCTGACAGGAAACATACCACAAATGGGACGGCCTTAACAAGCAGGAGTTTATTCTTACAATTTGGAAGCGTTGAGTCCAAGTTTAAAGTGCCAGGCTCTAGGGGCTGGGTGAAAGCCCCTCAACCTTGGGGTCCAGCTCTGCCTCCTGCACCAGGCCCACTGGAGCT